GTACGAGCCTATCTGGCACTTTGAGTGTGTACAGCTTGTAAAGCAAGCCGTTGTGCCAGACTTTGTCGAATGCTTTTGCGACATCGAAGAAGAGAGCCCCTGTACTGATGTGTTTGGGGTGGTTGAGGCCTTTTAGGATGTGCTCCGTTAGGCGGTATAACTGATCGGGACAAGAGTGTCTAGCTCGAAAGCCGAATTGTTCCGTCGGCAGAAGGCCGTTGGAAAATACGTGCTCTTTGAGCCTGTTTAACAATAGCCGCTCGTAGAGCTTCCCCAGACAACTGAGGAGGCTGATGGGACGATAGCTGGAGGGCTTATTGGCTGGTTTAGTCGAAGTAGGGTTCGGTTCGATTCCGATCGGTATCGGTCGAAGGCGCGTTTGGCTGCATTTTTCTGTCTAATTAGCAGTCGCAGGTCGGGCGGAAAGTTAAACCGTCGGTCGCCCGACAGTTTCACCGTTCGCTCCGAGTCTGCGACTGCGGAAGTAATAGTTTCGCGGAGACTCGCTATCGCTCGATTTGCGTCATCGAAAGTAGCTATCGTCTCGGGTAAGTCTACTAAGTCCTGGGGGTCCAAGGCCTTGAGTTTGACCTCAAGACGATGCCAGTCCACTACGGATTTGGTCGGAGGGACCGCGCCGGCGTTCTGGCCCAGTTTACACAGGACGGGCCTGTGGTCTGAGTCTAGTTCATGGATTGTCTCTATCGACTCGATGTCGAGCGAGACCTCCCTCAATAACATTATGTCTAGGACACTCGGTGACGCGTGCTGGTAGTTGTCCACCGTAGGATACCTAGTGGGAGTCGCGGGAGCGACTATACTGAAATTTAGGTTATCGGATAAGCTAAAGAGATGCTTTCCGTTGTTGTTTGGGATGCTGTCTATGTCCCATGAGCCGTGTTTGCAGTTTAGATCTCCTGCAATTATCACGGAAGGGTCTAAGTTAAAAAGCGTATCTAGGTCGCTTTGAAGGAGGGTTCTATTCCCCGAGAGGTAGGCTGAGACTAGTACAAGCGGCCTGTGGCCGGTGAGCGCTAACCTACACGCGGATGCGTCTATTTGACTTAGCTCTGGAATGTCGAGCGGGCAACAAGTGCAAGGACCGTTTATAATAAATAAGTGTGCCTCACAGACGGTGTGCTAACCGGTCGTGGCGGACAATATTGTAATTTGCGATTCTGGGATCGCGTACACTAGGTTTCAAAAATGTCTCTTGCACTAGGAAAATATCTACGTTATAATCGCGAAGGAATTCCGCGATTTCATCCCTTTGACCCTTTATGCCGTTTGCGTTGAAATACGAAACAACCAGAGCCCGAGGTTTTGTTCTACCTGCGGTTGTACTTCCCATTAAGGTGTTTATATGGATCTAATTAACGACGCGGCGGAGCGCGGTTTTATTGCGCGGACTATTGTTTTTTTTACGGTTGGCTCGTAAAAGCCCAAAGAGCGTCCACAAGCGTTTTGTGTTGGCTAATTGCCCTAAGACGCTCGTGGCCAGATGTGGCGGCCGCTATTTTAGCGGACAATACAGCGAGTCTATTGATTCTATCTAATAAGCTGCAGATGTTAGCTATTTGGCGAATGGGTCGTCCTTGTTTTCCGCGAAAACTGACGGAATTGGCTGCACCTGCGGCCGCGGCGCCGTTTGAGAGGCGGGCAGCTGTTGCGCGATCGGTCGTGAGGCGACCGGGATTACCGGCGCGGTTACCTGCGCGGCCACATGGGGTTTCGCCCAGGCGTTTACGACGGGTACGGGCGCGGGAATGAATCTAACGGGCGCGGGTTTGGGCAACGTCGATTTCGCGGGAGATTTCCTCGCGGGAGTTTTCGGGGCCTTAGCGCAGCCTCTGTAGCTAGCCGGGTGGCCGGTGGCGTTACAGTTTACGCTGTTATTGGCCGTGTGGCCAAAATGTTGACAGTTGTGGCACTGTGCCACAACACCTGATTTACGTGGGGGCTCGATGACTAAGTCACTGAGCCCACAGACCCTCTTAAGGTTGAAAATGGCCTTACCTTCCAGGGTAGGGTCAAGTTCCACCATGACCATGTCCATAGGGACACGGGTGCGAGGGTGCCTGAGACGACGCACGGCGTAAACAGGGTATCCCTGAGTGCGGATGTCGACCTTAGCCATATCGACATCCGACTCTTTTGGGACGCCCTTAATTACAACCCGAAGTTTACGCTCTTCGGGTAGTGAGTAGGTGTGGAAACCTACCTTAGCTTCGCGCAAGTACTTAGTTACGCGACGGAAATCGTCCGAAGAATCGAGGTATACGCGGATACCTATATGCGTATTCTTGGACCGGGGGTCTCGGATGTTGTGGCGTTCAAACCCCGAACAAACCTGGTGCCACTTTGCCTTATCTTGTATAATTATTGGCGGCGGTGGCTTGATTTTTCGCTCGGAGGCGAATGTCGGTTCCGACTGGGCAGACGCGGCTGCCTTTTTGGCGGGCGTCGCGGTGGGACGGTTTGACGGGGTGGCCTCGCTTTCGGGGTCGTTGTCGGTAGCGGGGCGTTTCTTGCCCTTTTTGTGCGATTTGACAACGGTGAAGCCGTCGGCGTTCGCGTTGTTAGCGGGGGTCGTTTCGACCTCCATGTCTGAGCCGCCGTCCGATTGTGAGTCGGGAACGACAGCGCGGAAGGGGGCCGAAATTGATTGCGCGGAAGGCGCGTTAGGATCGATCGCGGCGGCGGAGGACGACGCGACAGGCGTTTCGATTGTCGCAGAGGGCGACACAATAACTGGTGCAGAGGGCACCGGAGATGGCGGCGAGGCGGCAGCCGGTGAAGCCGGACTGTCGCTAGAAAATTCGACGACGATTCGTCGTTCCCTCGCGAAGTTCAAATATTTTACCCATAATTCAGGGCATTCTTGATGCAGGAATTCCTGTATGACCCATGTCGACGCTTGAGCCTTTGGGGCTTGCGCCCCGCCGGCGTGTGGTTTCTAATTAGGCTTCCCCACCTTGCGGCAGGGAGGTGTGTGCCTAAAATTAACGTTTAATCGCCTGCGCTTTAGGTGCGCTAGGGTGAGTACCTAGCTGTCGCCTAATGCAACAAGCACACAGATAAAAATTACAATGCCGCATCTGAGACGAGAAATGTGTGTAGATTCTACTTACGGACAGGAACCTGCCTACGAGCACAACACTACACACTAACACTATCCGCTCGGAAGTCGGGCAAAGTTTCTTCTTTCTTCTGTAATGTTTTTTCTTTCTTCTATAATTTTTCTTCTATCTTCTTGCTTGAGACTTCCCTAACCGTAGACCGCGAAAGACGACAACGATGAGGAGAACAGTGCACACCAAGAAAGATAATAAATATGTCAGCAACAACGGTTGCAAGATGGCTTCCGGGTCGGCTGGCATGGGCCCTCCGGCTCAGATTTACGTCCGTTCCGTGTGGAAGCACGAAGCGGAATGTAAAAAGTAAAAAAGGGTCAGTGTTGATCGAAGTGACACCGAAGGAATTCATTTGGAAGCAGGTGTTGGACGCTTGTATCGATGTGTATCGATGAAAGTATTAAGTGTCGGTAATTTAAGGTGCTCTCAGTGGTAGTAATTTTTTCATTTATGTTTTTCAATAGTTCTTCGCGTTGCACAATTCGTCGAGTGATTTTTTTTTTCATTGATCTTTTTGTTTTCGTGATTGAGCATTAATAAAATATAAATCAAATCAACTTTTTATTAAGAATTGGACTCTTAATACTCTTACATACATATATAAACTAACATAAATACACAGATTTCGATTTATACTCAGTTATTCTATCACTTTTATTACTTTTATTTCGCTGTTTGATTTATTCACTCACTTCACTTTATTGATAAGAACCTAACGTTCCAACCCACGATGGATTTTGCTTTAAATACCAACGGTCAGCCCAACCACAAAATTAAACATTCGAATGGTCTAAAGCATTCCAGAACATTCGGGAGTGTTCTGAAATCATCATCATCCTCCTGCCCTTATCCCACCTAGGTGGGGTCGGCACATCATGTGAATCATGTTGTAAGTGGTTTTGGCTATTTTTCTAAATATTTCACGCAATGTTCTTAAATGTTCATTTATTTATTTACTTAAACTTAGGGCACATACTTATAAAAAGGCTGACTTACCGCCAACAGCATTTTCTATGAGTCAACATAAGGGTGGTTTAGAGAAAGTGAGGTAGGTGCAGAGACATAACGTGTATCATATGTAATAATATCTCTGCTGATAATAAAAACCTATACAATATAAAATTATACAAAAGTTGTCATAAGCAATACAATACAAAATACAACTCACAGGACAATAAATAATTAGTAGTATAATATATTAACAAAAATATAAATTCGAAAACACATTTTTCGAATCGTGCCATATGGTACAAGAAAAACATTAAATATTGCGTTTTTATATCGAAAATGTAGCAAAAAAACATTGCATAAAGATCGTTGTTAAAAGAAATAAATCTATCTAATTAACTCAAATTATCAAAGTTTTTTTAGCAACTTAGAGTCACATCGAAGATAGACTTAACTGCCCTTAAGTTTAATCGGTAAGCGTATTAGACGGCAAGGATTAAGTACGCTAAAAGCTTAAAGGACTTTTAGTTACTACTTTAGACCTTCTTTACTTGAAAACTTGCGATACTGTTATGTACTATATAGTTAGGACCTTTTATAATAAATAAAATTTTTAAAAAACTATATTCTATAGCAGATAAAATTCAATATAAAATAACTTATATTTCAAAAATTGTAATTGTTATCTTAAATATTGTATATTCATTACTATTGTATATTCAACAAGAAAAATTTTAAGGTTATTTACTTTTTCTCTATTTTATATAGTCATATTATATATAGTCTCTTTTTAATTTTTCACTAACTTAACAGACAATACACAAAATCGTAAAGTATTTTTACATTGTAAAGTTTATTTTACTGACCAAGTGCATTATTACTGCTTTGGTCATTGGCCGCGTGGCCTTTTGCGCATTACGCGCTTTTGGGCATCTGGCCTTTATTAAGGCATTCGTCAGCTAAGTGTTCCCTTGCACATCCAGAGTGCCCGAAACTCTGGCACCAATGGTATTTTACCTGGCCTTTTCGAATATGCCAGGCTTCGATGGTAATACCTGGCATCTTCAGCACTTCGCTGATAGCGTACAACTTTCCAAGATCTCCTTTGCCGAGGTGATCTATCTTTAGATGAAACAGGATTGCCAGGGTATCAATATCACATGAAGGTGGATTCCTTTCTGCTCTCATGCTGATGGAGGCTCCAACGATACCTCATTGAGGAGACCTGGCCTCCTGGAGGAGGATTCGAAATTCCGACGCTGAATTGGGTCTGACCCTCACATCACCCTATGACCGGTCGTTCTGGCTCTTTCCCAGCTGTTTCATCAGCTCCTGCTTTTAATAAAGAATATATCTATATTTCTTTTTTTTTTTCAAATGTTGTGTTTCATATAAAAATTATGTATGAATTGATTGATGCAAATCAGCAACTTATTGGATTTTGGAGGAAATAGGTATTTTACCGCGGTAAAAAGATCTATTTTCCTAACTACCTTGATATCAATTAGTGTATCTAGCCGCAGTATCGTTTTGGCCTAAAATTCGGTCAATTTTTTGAATGTTTGTTTGTTTGATTTCTTTATTGTACACACAATATAAAATATACAATTTGGATTAAATGACAAAACATGTACAAAGGCGAGCTTAATCCTAAAGAGGGTTCTCTTCCAGCAGACCCTTGAAAACAGGAATCTATAGTAGTGTTAGGTAACTAGGTGAAGGTGTGTACATCATTAAAAATTTTACTAAAGTAATCATAATAATAAATAAATATCAATGTATAAATCAATAAACATAAAATATAAATACAAATACATCCATACATACAAAGTTTAAATAATGCATTATAAATAAATACAAACATTTGTTGTCAAGTAGATGAATAATGTCTCTTGATCCTTTTACTAAAACTGCCAACGGAAGAGCAGGCACGAATGTCACGTGGTAGTAATTTCCATAACATCACCACCTTAACAGTAAATGACGCATCATACCTCTTAGTAAAGTGTGTAGGCGATTTAAGAAGGAGGGATTTCTCAGTCCGACACTAAGTTCCGGGAGGTACCAGATATTCACACCTCTGGCGGAGATAGGAAGGAGCTAAAGGATTAGATATTAAGAAATAAAGGATAGATAGTACATGTAGGTCTCGACGTCTACGGATAGGAAGCCACTATAATTGTGCCCTGTAATCAGAAACGTGATCGAATTTACGCAGGCCGAAAACGAATCGAATGCACAAATCGTGAAGTAATTCTAGCTCGCTCAGTAGTTCTTCTGTAGCGTCCAAGAAACATACGTCAGCATAGTCAATAAAAGGCTAGAATCCCATATAAAAATGACAAACCTCCACTATTATATTTTTACAAAAGTATGTTTTCGTGTTACGTCCAGATATTGTGAAATGAAAGCAGCAAAAATCAATCTACAGCTTTGCGAGGCTTTATTAGTTTTAGCAACGTTTGAGTAACGTGAGAATGGGATTGGAACGTAGCATCAAATTCGGCGCTTGGAAACGGCAAACAAACTTTAAAAAAACTAGGCACGACCTTATTTTTGAACAAATTGTTTTTTCTTTTTATTTGTGTACAAATTGAAAAATGAAGTCTGGTTTCACAAAAATATATTTATGTAGTGCTTTGTAAATTTAAAGTCGACGTTATGGTTTTATAATAGTTTTTTTTTTATAATACTATGAAATTGCCGTTCTTTAGTAATGGCCATTTCAAACAAAAAAAGTTTTGATTGGCTGTGAATTCTAAATTATTTTTTTAATATGAAATTGTATTTATAAAGTCAGTCTTTTGTTTATTAATTAACATTTTTTTGAACATGTTTATGTTTTTGTTTGAACATTTTTCGTCATAATGGATACTATAAAAATTCGTGCAATTATGGAATATGTGCTCCGTCGTAGCACCAATGTGGTACAAACGGCACGTACTCGTATGATCAGCAACGTTTATGGGGAGAATATTAAAATCGAACGCACAACCCTTTATTGGTTTGCCCGATTCCCTTCTGGAAATTTTGACTGGAAAACTTAACCTCCTGGTCTTCCAGACATTTTGGTCAACAATGACGAAGTAAGGCGATTGTGGAAGCTGATGATACACAATCTACAGCTGAGGTAGCAGCAGCTTATGATGTTAGCAACAAAACTAAAAATAATAAAGAGCCACGAACTTAACAATCGTCAGCGCAAAGTACGCGTCGAGACATGCCTCGCGCTGCTCAACAGGCACAGAAATGAAGGAATTTTGAACCGAATTGTTACGCGCGCAGATAAATGCATTCTGTTCGACAATCGAAAGCGCTCAGCAAATTGGTTACATCCTGGTTGAGTACCAAATCAATGCCCTAAACGAAAAAATTACCTATAAGATGTTGATGGGCACTGTTTGGGGGTATAGTTTCTCGTGATTCATTACAACTTTTTACAAAACTGCATGAGCATTACTGCATATGTGTACTGTGAAGAACTGAAGACAAAAGACAAAAGATCGTACATCTGCAACCACGTTCATTCACGGTGGTAGGGCCATGCAGCAGCCTCGGTTTTTGCAGGAATGGACAGGCTCGTCCGGGTAAGTACAACGACCTCATAGAAGACCGGCGTAAAGTGGGAGTATAATAATTAATAACAGGCATCTGGAACCCTCGGGTGTAGCAGATGTCCATGGGCAGCGGTATTTACTTTTCACATAAAAAAAGCTTAGGTCGATCAGTCGTTCCCACTGACGCGCGCCCCATACTGTACAACAGACAGTCTCCAAACTCTTGCAGCAGTTGGGGTTGGAGTTTCTCCCTCATCCGCCTTAATCAACAAACCTTGCTTGTGCCGACTATTACTTTTTCATTTAGAAAACTTTTGAACAAAATACATTTAAAGAGTTTGTTGTCTCCCATCCAGCTGATTTTTACAAGAAGTCTAATTAATACACAGCCAATGCATTGGAAAAGATGCACCATTGCATGGGTGATTGATAACTTTTAATAACAGAAACAAAAAAGTTTGAAAAAAAAAACACTAACTTAAACGGCAAAACGGCATTTTCATAGGTAAAGAGATAATATTTAAAATACAATTGATGAAAAGCCGGCATTTAAAAAATATTTTTTTTTTTTAGATTTTGTTTTTCATAAAATGTATTAACAGTGCAATTTTGTTACAAAACTTTATGTACCAAAGGATGTTCAACGAAATTAGCTTAAAGTTTTTGCTAGAAAACTATCCGGTGCATCCACGAGGTTCTAATTACATTCCGGGCTAACTCACCAAATGTGACATAGTGTAGTTACGCAACTCAATTAAACTGCTGTTAAGAGGAAGCTATGCCCAGACATGAATTTGTTTATACCCTTTCTTTGATATCGCCTGCCTTTGTCTTGTAAACAATGTATAATTGAAAATTATACGTGAGAGCTCAATTTTCAAAAGGTTGTCAACGCATCTGGAACTCTCGGGTGTAGCAGATGTCCATGGGCGGCGGTATTCACTTAACATCAGGTGAACCGTCTGCTCACTTGGCAACTTTTCACATAAAAAAAAATAGACGTACAGCCTATAAAAAAGTGTATTAACATCGCCCATCATTGACTGGTAGTTCTTTCATTGTTCATTAAGAGTACAGCAAAGGAAATATTTTCCGGCATCTGTCTTTAGATCCAAATATAACGCGGTTTTATATTATTGACGCTAGTTTTTACGTATTTTAATAAATTAAATCAATTAATGTATTCTTAGGAAATACTACTATTATAAATAAACAGCAGAAAGCTGCAGCACTACCCCCAGTGAATAAAAAGAGTAATTTTCCCCTTCATAAAAATTGCCGGAGAGTTATTTATGTTTGTGATCCCATTTATGTAAGGGTTTTCGCCTGCGGCAAAGTATTAACGAGCGATTGAGTTTCGCTTATATACTAATATTACTTTGAACCGAATTTCTTGTAATCGCATAAAACGTTTTGTGGGTAATGTTATGTATTTAATGTTATTTTGATATTATGTAATTAAATTATGTGATCATAACACTATAAAACTTTATTGTAAAGAGAGTAAATTAATTATAAAACTATTCTGTTCACTTAAACTACGATAAAATTAAAAACTTGTAAAAATGCCGTGATAACTCATTGTCCGAGCGCTCGGTTCTAATTCAATAATCAAAATACTCAAGTAACCTGAGTTCAATTGGCACAAATTAAATTGTTAATTTAAGTGCTGTCTTATCACGTTCGTGGGGTGACGTTTCCGTCACATCGTGAGGAAAGCTGCATATTTCGAAATAATAACAAATAGAATATTTCTAAAATATGTGAAGTCCGCATGTGTAGTGGGATCGAAAGGCCTAGGAGAGAGACACTCACAGGCTGTTACTATATTTCATTTCAGTGTTAATTCATTCATTAATAATCTGATTTTTTAGCTGAGTTATTTAATTAAATGAATAATAGGTATATTTCTAAATATTAATGTAAAAAAAATAAAACTACAACTACAACATACAAAATTATTTACAAAACATATATTTAATCTGGAAACATTTTAGTTCGATTTGAATAAATGAAAAGCTGCTTGTTTTTCATTATTTGTTATCCAATCCACCAATTTTTACGCACGAATCTACAGGTGCGACGGCGACACACGTCACTGCACCATTCCTCAGCGTGCTCCTTTACTTTACACCACTTGTCACTTCACTTACTTTTCACTTCACTTACCACTTTTCTACTCTTCTTCCTTTCATTTCAGTTCCTCTACTAAACTAACTGCCCATCTAGCACGCTCCGGACCACTTTTACACTCCAGATCGTTTTTACGGCTCAAATATTCTAGAAACAATTTTAATTTCGTTCATCATTTTAATCGAATTCTCTGGAACCAGGACCGAATTACGATATTCTCCTTAATAGAAAGTTCCGAAATAAGAAGGTTCTTTTACACTACACTACTAATTTAAAATAAAATCAAATACGTCATTCGAGAAAATTGCCAAGACCGAATGTTGACATGTCAATGTCAATGCAAGACATTTAAGACGTCAATACACCCCATGATTAACGATCTGGGGGTTCTTCGTTATTGATTCCCAGGTGGTCGTTACCATCACCCCAGATCTCAAGAATCGGCTCTTCAATTTCCTCACAAAAGCGATATTTTTATAGTCCCTCACCATGCTCATG